ATAATCAGTGAAACATAAAGAAGGCATAAAACTTATTTTCAGAGGTTGGGTGTGCAACACGCATTAAACCACACCGAAAAACAAAAACCATAAGCTTTTTCTTTTGATTTCGGAAAGTATCTTTTCAATCGTCTTTATAAATCCCTGACATTTCACAAAATATTTCACATGATTTAAAGCTTTTATTTTTCATGAAAAACCATCTTACCTGATGATCCCCGCACTGAAAAAAAATCTCGGTGTATTTACTAAGAAAAGGGTAAAATTACCAAGAATTCGGGGTTCTATTTGATCCCAGTTTTTTCTTGGTAAAATTACCATTTATGGAATTGGTAATTATACCGAGAAATCTCGGTAAAATTATTGAACTTTCTCGGTAATTTTACCGGACCTTGGTACAAACGCCAATATTTTTTATCGACTGTGGTAGAATTACCGAGGTGAAATGGCAAAGTTACCGGGAATTGATTACCAATAAAGTGGTATTCTTACCTGAAAAAAACAGTAAACATACCGGTTTTTAGGTAAGCTTACTAGTCTGTCTTGGTAAAATTACCAATAATTGGTAAAAAAAGTGAGATGGTAAAGGTACCAACGGACCTTGGTAAAAACGCCGAGAATTTTTTCTCAGTGTGGCAGGAGGCGCTGATACCACTGTTTGTATTTCCGGGTGTAAAAAAAACAAGTCGCTAATCAGTGGACAGCCTCTTGAGTTATTCGAGCCCCGCAGCAGCGTTGCAAAATCGTCTAAAAAATTTAAAAGTTCCGAATAAGAACCAATTGAATGGATGTAAAACATGTTTTCAAATCGACAGCACTGTTTCATAATCCCTCTCGTGCGGACCATTCCGGCTAATCAAATCAACACTTGCTGTAAGCATACCTCAAGATGCATATTTGAGCCCATTGCCTAATGTTGCCGGGTTTGTTCATATCGCGTTGATCCAAGTTAGATTAGCGATTGTCCAATTTGTAGGATATTTGACAACGGTGTGCGCAATGCCGCCAATCCATGTGTATTTCACATTGAAATTCCAGGGATTTGTAGAGCGATTTGGCGACGGTAAATGCACAATTGAATCCAAGACGGTATGCAAGGTATGACAAGGATGCAACCCTACAAATTGCGACGTGGGTTCGTGTCTGAGGTATTCGGAGCAGGCTGTTCGGAAGTCCTTGTTCTTCCCTCGAAATTTCAACCCGCTATGAAAAGGTCATGGGAAACAAAGCCCTGCATGACGACCAGTTGCATGCTTTGCGGTATATCGATTCCTCTCCCGTTTAAACCTACGGGAAAGGATCGATTATCAAAGTGTCCGCAACGAATACCTTGATAATCGATTCCTTACCACAGCTTCAAATCGGGGAAATATCGATAATCGATAATTCGCGTCTCGCGTGTTTTGGCTGATTGGCGTCGGCTATGTTGAATATTGCGTAGTATCCTCGTGAGCACGGCGCAGGGGTTGGATGTCACCTGTGGGCTGATTATTGAAATTAATAGACAAAGCGATAGACATAGGAGACAGAGGAAAACTGAAGCTATCCTATTGGTTAAAATAGGTGGTTGGATTGGACAAAGGAGGCAAGTAATAGACTAAGTAACGGCAACCCACGAGAGACCCGACAGTTAGTCCGTCATTTCCCCCCTAAGTCTATGAGAAGCACTCGTCTCAACCAATAGGATCGCTCCATACTCTCTATATCTTCTTTGTCTATAGCTTTGTCTATCAATTTCAATAATCAGTCCCCTGTGCCGTGGTATCGTTTTTGAGGCAGGGAGCTCGAAAAAATGCAAATTTCTTATGCAAATTGCGAGAAAGGAGTGCATTTCAGGCTTTGCCGATGCGCTCATCGTGATTTTTGAGACACTTTCTATGAGTAACAACTCTAATTTTTGCTCCAGCAACTAAAGTTTGCATCAGGCCCATTGTTTCTACCCGTTGTTTTTGAAGCACATATTTGACTTACAGTAGACTCTGGATTATCCGGATTAATTGGTGCCGGGCCCGATCCGGATGAAAAAGAAATCCGGATAATAATAGTAAACACAAACACCACCAACCAACACCACAGTATTCTTATTATGTATACATCATGTACATACCAACACGAATTTAAAAGGTTAACGCCAAACTAAACGACTCAATGGTGATTGTGAATGGTAGCCGACAACGATAAATTACAATACAACGATCAAAGCGCGCAATGCGTGAAGTACTCATGCAGTCTTGTAGCCGCTAATGTGCGTTTTAGGCTAACTAACCGACTGCACTGCGTTTGGCGTAATGCGAGAAGTATTTATGCAATCTAGTAGGCGCTAATGGGTTCCACGCCGACCTCACTGTTTGGCGCAATGCGTGAAGTGTTCCTTCAGCCTTGCAGGCGCCAATATGCCTTGCGACCGCTTCTCCGCGGATCCGCTCACTTATCGGAATGCGTACGCAGTTACATGGTTGCAAAATCGATCCGGATAATCCAGAGTCCGGATAATACGAAGCCGGATAATCCAGAGTCTACTGTAGTTTTCGCATAAATTTACTCATTTTCGCGGAAGGAGGGTCATTTACAGTCATTCTTAGCCATCTTGGTTTGATATTTGAATCTAAAAATTGGCAGTGACATTTTTTGTGTTAGACGGTTGGATGCCCATTTGGGCTCATCATGAGAGCTCCTTATTTCGACATTTTCGAACCCTTCTTTCATAGGTACTGTGGTCTTGAGTATTTTATCTCCAACGTTTTCTCTTCATCATCTGAATTATTCGGCCTAAACTTTGGCCAAAATTCTCGATTTTGGCCTCGGGTGAGCCAGGGACGAGACTCGCCGACGGCAGGTGTTCAAACTTGCAAGTTGCAAGTCTGTCGCTGTTTGCTCAATTTGGAGGCCCGCCAACAATTTTTCCTATCACTTTGTGTCTCGTCCTCGGGTTTGCTGCCACACGATGTTCAAAAACCATCCTCTCTCTTCATTTAAACAACGTAAAATCAGGGAATATTTTAATCGACCTGGAAACAACACCAGTCGACACTTCCACGTTAAGTCTGGAAATTCTCATAGTTTAGGTTCCTTTTTCCATAACAATGAATTGCTAGACAGTGTAATCACTTACCTATGTGACGCAAAATATACAACGCTCGAGGTGAACATTTCTTGAAAAATCAGGGACACTAGGATAAATTAGATAGATTTCCTGAAAAAATCTAGGAATTTTGCAGAAAAGAGCCCTCAAAATGTACCTATATACGTTAAAAGCAATTGGTCAAATCAGGCATTTCATCAAATGTCTAGACCAGTGTTCGAAACTCACCTTTGAGTTTCAGGGGCCATTTGGCGCATCAAGCTCGATTTTTAGGGGCCAGTGAAGATTTTTTAGGGTTCAAATTGACTTTTTGCCTACATATCTTTTGCACATCTAGTGAAAACGTAGACACAAGATGTTTTAGTTACAAAACTAGTAGCTGTGACTTAAGAGAATTATCGAAAAATCAACAAACAGGAAAATCAGGATTTTGTCTCTTTTATTATTGGGAGGGCAGTTTTTAGGGGCCACGTTGGCGCGGAGCCCTCATTTTTTAGGCGTCATGACCGATTTCTTAGGCGCATTTGGCGCATTTGGCGCGTTGGCGCCTGAGAGTTTCGAACACTGACTGTAAGGGAATTTTAAATAATTGCCCACTAAAATGGCAACGCATTTCTGTCATGCTAAGCAAGAACGCTGTAAATCCATCTAGATTTTCCCTCGTTTTTGGAACTTCCTATTTTATAAATTATGAACTGTTTTACCTACACACCTCAAATTTTCAGGTTAAGTTCTTCATAGTATTTGCGAAATAATTCTGTAAAAACATTGTCCGAAGGTGCACAAGTTTCTCTGCAATGATACGTTGTTTCCAAAAGATGTAAAACGGTGTTTACGGCGTTTTTGCGTCGCACGGAAGTTTTGGCTACTGTTACCCCGCAGTGGCGTCGCGTGAATTGCGATATATCGATTGATATGTCATTTAAACCTATGGAAAAGGATCGATATACAGGGTATTCGCAGCGAACACCTTAATAATCGATTCTTTACTATAGGTTTAAATGACAAACTAATCGATGCATCGCAATTCACGCCACGCCACTAAATACCCCGTGCTCCATGGCCGGATCAAAAAGGATCTTGAACCTAATGCCGGCGTCCCCGGTTCAAGGCCCCAGCTCTCAGCACCCGGCTTTTCACGAGGCCGCCTTTACCCCCTCCCCCTTTTCCCGCGCGGGAAGGGAGGGGGCTACGACCCGCCCGCCCCCACCTCCTTTGTGGGTATTAATGGGCGCGCATTTCTCGGACTGATCGGCACCTTGATCCGTGACATTTTTTCGACGGGTCGCCAGGTGTGATCGGAGGCCGTGACCTTTGATTTGACGGTCACGGTTGAAGTGTTAAAAGATGTTTCAAAATGAAACCGAGCGTCTTCATTTGTTCACGTCAAAACTAAAGTTTTTCAACAATTTTACGTATTTTCGCCTCTTCGGCCTTGTCTCCACGGGCCGTTTCACGGAATTTGTCCCTGGGAAAAATCCCACTTACGAAGTGGGGAAAAATATTGAGTTAATCAATATTCTTCCTAGTACCAGGTATGGTCTTTGTACTCATAGGACCCACTAAGAGAGGAAGAAGAAGTGAAAACAAACTGTGCGATGTTTTGTCGATTACTCCATTGTTAGTGTTTGTTTAGTGATAATAATGTGTCTAATTGTCAATTGAGTGCAATTATTATTTTAATCCCGGTTAAATACTCGACTTTAACTAATTTATCTTGCCACGCAAACTAGTCCCAGGACTGCATGTGTTCCGTCCCGTAGAGACGATAACTGGGATAAATCCCAGAAGTTTCGATTCGAACTTGGGACAAATCCCATGAAAACGTCCCGTGGAGACAAGGCCTTATCAGACATTTAGATTTTGTGTTCAATTTTCACGGGGCTCAAGAAAAATACACACAAGGAGCGAACAAATATCGTGATATTGAACAAATTTATTGAGTATAAAATTTGAAATTCATATTCTATTTTCAATAAAGCTCAAGAGCTCAATCGTGAGAAAAATAAGCAACTTTCTTTATTCGCCACGAATATCTATGGACACGTTTTACACGTGAACCTACAAAAACAAACAGTGTCATTGCAATTATAATTAACGCGATAGCCGCTTCGTCTCAAAGCTTCGTCGCTACAAAAATTATCGCAACCTTTATTGCACTTATCGGCGCTGAAAAAATCCCAGTCTTTTGACACTTCTTTTCCGCCAACACAACTTGTTGTTATTAAGATAAATAGTAGGAGGCTCAGACAGACGCAGAGTTTATAGTCCATATTCAAGGTCGATGAAAGTGACGATTTCTTTGATGAAAGTGATTTGATCCAATTCTCCCTTTAGTCCTAGAAAAAAAAAAGAAGAAAAAAATGGAATGAAACTGAATGAGGCATTTAAAAGATTTCTGTCTTCATATTTAAGGAAATAGTGATATTGATGTAGGCAATGTTGCAACCTTGGAATGGGGTTACCCGGGCCTTGTAGCGCCCGGAACCCCCCTCAACGATTTTGTTATAAGTTCCTGATCCTCTAGAGGTCCTTACAGTCTAAAAGACAGATTTAGAAAGTTCTAAAGTCTGGAATTTTTCATGTGATGGAGCTTTTAAATTTTAAGATTTTGGACAACCAGTTAATGACCGACTGGGCCACTAAGCGCTAATCTGGCTATGCATGCTGCATTCCCTCGTTTTTAAAGCGACGAATTGTTCAATTCGTGTACATAATTAAGAAGGAGATGGCACCGCAGTTCCTGTTCAATATTTTGGTAATTTTTGTATGCAATGGGTCACTAAACGATGAACGAATTTTGACTTGCGAATACATTTTACCAAAGGTCAATGACGCGTAAAACACATGCGTACTTCAAAAACGCGAAAAAGTAACTCGAGAATTGAGTAGAGGTGTGGAACGTGGATTTTTCCATAGGGAAATGTGGAATTTTTACCATTTATTTTTATTAACAATGAGCTGAGCAAACGCAAAAAAGTCATCCTTTTTTAAAATTGCTTCATATCCCAAGATTTGCCTAATGTTTGCCGCGATCCACGGATCGCATGATAGGGCATTTATTGCATCCTTGTTGAGAGGTTCGTTTTTCGATAATATTCGAGGAGCAGTGGCGTGGCGTGAATTGCGATATATCGATTGATATGTAATTTAAACCTATGGTAAAGAATCGATTATCAGGTGTTTGCTGCGAACACCCTTGTTTATCGATCCTTTTCCATGGGTCTAAATGGCCGATCATTCGATATATCGCAAAGCACGCCACGCCACTGTCGAGGAGTTAACTTATACAACCTACAGCCGCCAGAGTTCAATTGGATTACATTTCGCAATAATAAGGAACCACTATCTCTGGCTCTTCTATAAAAGCACCTTTCTGCACAGAGAAACCAATGTCATATATGCTGTTTCTTTAATGAGCCAGAAATAGTGACTCCTTATGGCAAAATGTAATCCATTCCAGTGGCGTGGCGTGCTTTGCGATGTATCGATTGATCGGCCATTTAAACCTATGGTAAAGTATCGATGAACAGGGTGTTCGCAGCGAACACCTTAATAATCGATTATTTACCACGGCTTCAAATGGGAAAATATCGATAGATCTCAAAGCACGCCACGCCACTGATCCATTCCGTCGCTCGTCTCAGGAAAGAACGTTACCGCACTGCAATATTTTCGAATTCCTCCTCGCATTTTGCATTTGTACCAGAAGAATCTGAGGCATTTCTAATTGAAAAGTTCACTGATTTTCCGTCTGATCTCAAACAAAATCGGAACAATTTTGGACAAGAATTGCAGTTACATTCTTGTAAAAAATTGAATCGTTTGAGTCAATTTTGCAACCTTGGAATGAAGTTACGTTCCTTTGTCCAGGAAATGATGGATTTTCGATTAATGACTGAGAATCATGGGCGGAAATAGGGGGGAGGGTGGGGGGCGCCCCCCCCCCCACAATGCTGCTCGGCCCCTTCCGAAAAATGTCAAGGACCCAAGCTACTAATTAACTTTGAGGTAAAAGGCATACGGAATGTAATAAATATGAGTTTAATCCTAATATAATCGATTAAAGATGTCAGAAAAATGAAAATTACTCGCAATGAGAGCAACTTCCTCCGAGTAAGGGACATGGAATGTAGTTTGACTGTATCCGGTTGTGGTTTTTCGCGCATTTTAGCGCAATACTTGTTTTCATGAGAATTAAATTAAGATCAATTCAATTAAAACCCGCGGTAAGATGTGATATTTTTGAAAACTGGTCAGCAAAATTTCTGTCATCTGCAATATTTAATTCAATTTAATTTGTCATTGAGAATGGCTTTAAATTGCTCCTAAGACGTTCCAATTATCCAGAATTTTCCGGAGGAGGCCCCCCGAACTCCCCCCAGGTACCCTTTCCGTGCCCCCCTTCCCCCACAAAAAATTCCTAGTCCCGCCCATGCTGAGAATAATTCCTAAGTTAATTCAATACGAGGAAAAATCAGACTTACCGCTCCAAGAAGAGGTGAATATGAAAGCGGTGCAGGCTATAAACAACTTTCGATAGGTGGCTTAATAAACAGAATAATGGCAATGGAGCCTTGGCCGTGGCCGTAGTGAAGCTGCAAAGGTCGGGTTCATCTACCTATATAGGTTAACAGTGTTTTCGATGATAATCCGTCCGCTCCGTGACGTCAGAATAATTTTTTGCGAGCACATGAGACAGTCTCGAATGATAAAGATGAACCACAGCTAGAAAAAACCTCTCGATTAGGTATGGAATTCCCCGCGATATTGCAACCGCCGGCTATATAAACAATTTAAGCGACCATTATCGCGCAAAAGTCGTAGTGAAAGTAGAGAAAGTGCACGACGCAAGTTCATCCAAATTCTCTCCAAATTTTAGACATAACGTGAGTACTCACTTTCCTTTCATTCTAAAATCACCTTTCATTTAAAAAAAAAAAAAAAAAAAAAAAAAAAAAAAACTTTAATCGCTCATCTTTTTAAGTTTCCTCGGAATCTGAGATGCAGCAGACATAGTCTTTATCTAACTCGACTGTTTCTATTTTAAAAATTATTTAACTTCTTCTCATCCTTGCGCAACTTTCTTTTTGATCATACGGACAGGTCACATTCAAATTTTGATTAGAGCACACTGGAAAAAAAAAACACATTGGATCTAGAGTCTAGACTCTTGAAAACATTGACAAGAAAAAATACTCTTGATTCAATCGGATTTTTGCTTGAATCAAAACGAAATCCGCTTAAATTAAGAGGATTGGTTCTTGATTTAAGCTAGATTCTGATTGAATCAAGAGTACTTTTTCTTGTCGATGTTTTTAAGAGTCTGGACTCTAGATCTAATGTGTTTTTTTTCCAGTGTATCCTATTTGTGTAGGTAAAAGGAGGAATATTTCGATGGCGAAAGTGCGAAACCACCTAAATTCATTGCGGCGTTAAAAAATTTCCGCTCCTGTGATTTACTGTTTTCGAGGAGAAACAGCCCAACTTAATGGCTTGACATTTACACGAAATATTCTGCCAATAAGGAAGAAAAATCAAGAAAGTTTTCAAGCAATCACGTTGATTTAACTTTCTATGAAAAAATAAAGTAAGATAGGAAGTCTACAACGTCGCAAACGGAGGTACGTGGTTTCGCCATTTAGCCATCGATTTCTCGTTACCCAGACGAAAGAACGCAACAACATTATTTCAACGTTACATGTAAATTTCCACACGTAGGCTGTATTTTTACCAGAAAACTATTGAGCCTTTTTACCCAAAAATATCAGGAATTTTACGCAAAAGTTGCACATTTTTTTTACAAAGTTCGCTCAGTCTTAATCTCTTAAAATATTGACATTCTTAAATCAATTTTGTAATCTCGCATGAAAAAGAGTAATGTTCCTCCTCCTGGAGTAACGATACGGATTCAGGGTAAAATTTTCTCTGACATATGTCAGCTCATACCTATTTGTGTTTATTTGTTCCGGCAAGTAACGTAAAGGATGTGTCCCATTAAGGAGGGTATTTTGGCCCTAACTTTAGTCGAAAACTGAAACAGCTCAGAATAATGTCATGTATGGTTAAATCAACTCTTAATCATCTACCCTGTGAGGACTTGTCCTTATTTGTGGTGTTTTTGAAAGGTTTTTGCCTGATTTACCATCGCAAAGTAGTGAAATTTTGCAGTTTTCTCGAATAATTGCTCACTTTCGGTCCTAAATTAGATAGTTTATGTATGATCACAAGCGACTTACCACTTTCATATTCGAATAGGTTAATCTTTAGTACACCAATTACAACATATTTAAATGAGAAAGTGGTAGTCGCTTGTGCTCGTACACAAACTATCTAATTTAGGACCGAAAATGAGCAATTATTCGTGAAAACTGCAAAATTTCACTATTTTGCGCTGGTAAATCAGGCAGGAACCTTTCAAAAATACCTCAAATAAAGATAAGTTCTCGCAGGGTAGATGATTAAGAGTCGATTTGACCATACATGGCATTATTCCAAGCTGTTTCAATTTTCGACCAAAGTTAGGGCCAAAATACCCTCCTTAACGAGACACATCCTTTTACATAGTGGTAACTCTTATTGGAAAGACGGATACGAATCACATAATTTTTACTCATGATTAACTTTGACCGCTAGTCTAGGTGTGAGTTTAACCATCATGATATCAATGACTAAACTGTGAAACCACGTAGTATCGCCGTTTAAGACATTGCAGACTTCCTGTCTTACTTTATATTTTCTTTGGAAAACTAGTCAACGTAATTCATTGAATCAGTTCCTTGTTTTTCCCCTCTCTGTCTGCAGGATATTCCGTATAAATTTCAAGCCATAAAGTTGACTTGTTTCTCTTCGAAAAAATGAAGTATAAGCGGAAATTTTGAATCACCGCAATGGAGATATGTGGTTTTGGTTTTTGGCCATCGATGTATGCCTACGCATCAATCAAATCCTATCCATATCGCAGTTGTATTTGTTGCGCGAATCGCATTCTGAAAGAATTTGAGAAGAGGAAACATATCAGAATATGCAAACATTTTTGTTGGAGTCCTGCCGTGCTAAGGAAAAACGCCATATGAGCCATCAGACGTTACCAAATTTCCTTCGAAAAACAACGAATTTTCAGGAAAATTTGTGAATATTTCTCCTCAGATTTTTCGGAGGATTTTCTTCGAAAGTCGATCTAAAAATTCTGCAAATTTCAAGGATAAATACCCCTAACTTTCTTCAAAAATGAATATTTTCGGAGAGGAAATGTGGCAACATTCGAATGCTCATACGGCGTTCTTTCTTAGCACGGCAGAGTAGTACCTCTAATTCTAAAATTCCAACGTATCAGAATTCAGAATGCTTAAATCCACACCTTGTCTAGTGGTCCGCTATTAGAAATCAAGTAAACACTTTTTTTTTTACGAAAAACTAGGGGGTCCGCGCATCGGTCGCTCCGCGGCCCAACCCTCTCGCTTCAAAACGATGGGAATAATTCGATTTCTATTTTTCAGTCTTCTAGATCCAACCGTGCAAATTCTAGACTCGAGATAGGAATTTAATCGGAGGTTCCGGTCAAGATGCTATTAGGCGTGATCGTTCTCGTCACGCTGGACATTCTCAGCGTGACCGGAAAAGCTACTCCGAACGTGGACGAAACCAACGAGGGTGCATCAATTTACGGCTCCGAAATCCAATCCTCTCAACAAGTGGGCAGGTCCAAACGATCATTACCGAACCTCTACAACATGATGGAAAGGACGCTCCCTTGTACTAAGGGTTTGAAAGGATCGTTTGTCTACAACGGGCATGGAAATTGGTGCGGTTCCGGGGGTTCTGGCAATACTATCGATGGGATCGATGAATGCTGTAGGGACCATGACTATTGTTACGCCAACAAGACTAAGTGTGGCTCCTCCTTGAAAGAATACACATCGAACTACGACTGGACCTTATCATATGGTAGTAGACCTGACAGTCTCATCATAACCTGTAACGACCGAGACTTTGAGTCTTGTAAGTTCATGCTGTGCGAGTGTGATGTGAAGTTTATCCGGTGTCTTCAAAAGCAACCATGTCCCTAGGAAAGAAGGATATTGCACAATTGCATAATTGGACTGCATTTTGCAAAAAGGAACCAAGAGCATTTCAATGTTGCTCAGATTGTGCAACTTAAATCCTTTCCAAAAAATTACAGCAACACGAAGAAAAATTACATTTACGGAGGTAATTTTCGTCGTAAATTTATAGTTTACTGGGAGTAAAGATAAAACTTGTTTAAATGATCAGTTTCTATTTGCATGGTGAAAAAAGTTGCACAATCTTAGCGACATTGGAATGCTTGTGGTTCCTTTTTGCAAAATGCAATCCAATTGTACAATTTCGTTGGTGGATACAGCAAATTGGCAACGCTGTTTTTCTAAATTTAGACCCATGGAAAGGTATCGATTCTTCAAGGGGCCAGGTGCTTTGACAAGAATCGATTATTAAACATAGATTTAAATGGAGGGAATCCGGTGTTGCCAAACTGCAGTATCCGCCTCTGTACAATTTGTATTGTATAAAACAAAGACTCGGAAAATATCATGAAAAACTTGTGACGAACAAAGGCAGAAAATATAATGAGTTTGAAAAATATTCGTATTAGTTTTCGATTTCACATGTCGTCACCTTCCGGTCAAAGTATTACGAGCGCCATGTGACCTTTAAAAATTTCCGCCGCCATTTTATTTTTTTACAGAGAAATCGTTAGTTGAATCTGTTTCAAAATTTCACTGAATTTCATCGGCAGCACAAAGAAAATTCAATGAAATATTCTGACGGCTTCGTTGAACACTTTCTCTGTAAAAAAAAAAAAAATAAATAAAAAAAAAATTAAATGGCGGCGGAAATGTTTAAACGTCACATAGCGCTTGTAATAGGTACATATTTCTCAATTGAGGGATGACCTGAAAGCCTCTGGTTCAATAACCCTATGAGGGCGAATTTTTTCTATATGTTTGTTTTAACGCTAGGACAAAACTTGTAAACCTCCAGCCATTATTTTCTTGTTTACTTTAATGAGACAAATAGTCGCACAATTTGATGGGATTTAATTGACAATTCATTTTTTGTCCTCAAATGTTCTGCCATGATCGATCGGATGCTGAAAAATGTTTCTATCTGAAACAGAAGGGGAGGGGGTCCCATTTAATCATTTTTGCACCAGATTTTTCAAGTTTGTTTCAGACAGGATTTATGGCATTTTAATTTCTGCATAAATATGCGCAAGAAATGCACTGCTTCCTCTAGGAAAATAAAAGGGGGGGGGGATTCTAACATATTTATTGTCAATCATAGGCACCTGAATAACTAATAGAACTAGCATGAGAATCAGTGGCGTGGCGTGAATGATCGATTATCGGTATTTCGCCATTTGAAGCTATGGTAAAGAATTGATTACTTAGGTGTTCGCTGCGAGCACCCTGATAATCGATCTTTTTTCATAGATTTGAGTGGCGTATCAATCGATATATCGCAAAACACGCCACGCCACTGATAAGAATCGTCAGCAGAAGTCGAGCATTATCAATTGCCAGGCAAGATTTGTAGACAGTACACAAATCCTCGAATAGGCAACTATTACCGCACGGAGGATGCTGTCTAGCCTACCTCGAAAATTGAAGGCGAATCAGTGATGCGCGTGACCTCGATACACTCGTCGGATCGTGTGGACTCACTGCCTTTTTGCCTGTGGTGACGGCAATTTTTGCACACTTTTTACTCACTCATAAGTCTCGAACATCACAAATAAAACGAATTTTGCTGTAGTAACTGAGCCAGTAAGTTCATTTTTCATTGATTTGTCGTCTTTTTTGCGCACGTACGGCTTTCTCATGTGTCTCGTTTTGATACAATGGACCACTAAACAAGGTAAGAATTTAAGGAATCTGATACATGTTTCTCTACCAAAATTTCACGTAGAACACGATTCATACAACGAAAATTACTGAAACCAACTCCTAACTAAGATATTAACGTTTTTATTTCACATTGGGTACGAGGATTTTGCGCTGCCCGCTCACAAGAAACTCAAAGCTCTACTTGCGTCAAATCGCGCACTACGACGGTTTCAGCAAGCTTTTCAATCGAGCAATATTCATTTCCCATCATGTGTTGTTCAAACCACAAGAAATTTGCTATAGCTAATCCAAACTGTCAAGATTGAGGTTTTCAGATTTTTATATCGCAGAGATATCATGATAAACGTTTAGCGCGCGATGTAAAACTCGTAGAACATTGAGTTTTCATGAGCGGGTGGTTTGAATTCACGCACCAGGAATCATTAAATATCTTCGTAAGGAGTTGATTTCGGTAATTTTTGCTGTGCGCATCGCATTTTTCGTGAAATTTTTGTTAAGAAACATGTATCAGAATGCTGAAATTTGCACCTTGTCTAGTGGTCCATTCAGATGGATTTTGCTGTTTTAGCAATTTCAGTGATTTAATCTAAAAGAATTCAGACGAATTTTGAAGGAAACTCGATTTCGAAAATTTGACACTTACTGCTACTTCGCTACCACGGCAGAGTGTACCTGCGTTTTTCTTACCTTGGCCTTGGTTCTCGGCGACAACGAGAGCGCGCCGTCTACTGCGCCGCGACGCACAGTGGACAGAGTCAACCAGAGAAGTCGGACATGAAAGTTTTGACTAAAACTCTAAATTTTGATGTTCATTTCGTCACATTTCAAATTTTAAGGGGTGCTTCTAGAAGAAAATTTCAGGAGGAGACCAGTGGTACCACTTTCAGAACCGTACAATTTTGTATAAACGGAGTTATAACCTTTTAAAGATTCCAGTTTCCGTCCGACTTCTCCGATTGACTCGACCCAATGTGCGCCGGGCGCGGGGAAAATAGGAAAATAAATGCGGTGACCACAATTCGGTGTTAACAAGAAGAAAGAGGTTAAGGCTATGTCGAACACGAGAACACGGCGCGGCGGTGCGACCGCTAAAAATAGGCGCCCAACCCACTTACCAAGTTACGCGACACGTTCGCCAACCGCGCCGTAACCCGCGCTCTGACCAACCGGCCCGAAAAATCTAAAATTCCCGTGGTATTTGTTTTTTTGCGTCGTTTTTAGGGAAATTTTGAGGACCGAAACTGATGTTTTTCGTTTTTTTTTCTTTTTTTTACCACACTGGAAAAAAAAAACACATTGGATCTAGAGTCCAGACTCTTAAAAACATGGACAAGAAAAAATACTCTTGATTCGATCAGAATTAAGCTTAAATCAAGAACCAAGCCCCTTTATTTGAGCGGATTTCCTTTTGATTTAAGCTTAAATCTGATTGAATCAAGAGTCCTTTTTCTTGTCAATGTTTTCAAGAGTCTGGACTCCAGATCCAATGTGTTTTTTTCCAGTGCACAGCTTCAAACGGGAAAATATCGATAATGGAGAATTTGCAGGTGTCTGAAATGATGAATTCCGTGTTTGAATGGGCGCTACCAAGTGAGCTGAACACGAGGATACCCTTGGTTCATAAATTGAACAACTATTGGAGGATATATGACAAAATGATCTAATCTACTAAAATACATGCGTTTAAACGGGAAATGCCGCCAGATGACGTCACTAGGCGGTGCATTTTCTCACTTTTAAATTTATTTGATGCCTAATTCTTGTAGATCAGCTAATAATTATGAGTTCTGCTCAAACCGCAATTTTCTACGTTTAATATTAACCGAGATATCGCCCATTGAAAAGTCGGGTTTTTGACGTTATCCATACCGCGGTAGAGGGTACATCCTTGGTTTCCTCCACCCTGTTTTCATCCAAGTTTCGCGTTAAAGTAACGAGTGCGTCGCTGACTGATGAAAGCAAGATGGAAGAAACCAAGGGTGTCACTACCGCGGCCGGTGTATGACGGCAAAATTCCGACTTTTCAAAGGGTGATATCTCGGTTAATATTGAACGTAAACGTAGGAAGTTGCGGTTTCGACGGATCTCATTATTTTTAGCTATCTGCAAGAATCAAGCATCAAAACACGATTCAGTAACCAGTGCAACTGACCCATTTCAATTATCAGATCGCAGGCGATTCATAAAGAAATCGATTCGAGAATCGATATTCATAATGAGATGTCAATAATAGTACGTACAATGATGATTTTCATAATGATACTATATTTATTTTTTTGAATGGAGGAAAAGCATTTTTTGCCCACCTGCGAGTAACCCAATGAGATGTTAACAATAGCACGTGTCATGATTTTATATTTATTTTTTAGAATCGAGGAAGATCATGTTTTGCCAACTTGCGAGTAACCCCACTATGCTCGCACAGTGGATCGAGTCGATTAGAGAGATCGGACGTGACTCTTTTTACTGAAACCGCAAATTTTGATATTTATTTCGTCACATTTTAAATTTTAAAGGGTGCTCTTAGAGGAAAATTTTACGAGAAATCCGCTGGAACCACTTTTAGAACCTCAAAATTTTGTCTAAACGAAGTTTTAAGCTTTTAAAGTGTCCACATTTGTCCGACCTCTCTTATTGACTCGATCCACTGTGACTCGGTTCTGACGTGGGCGGAAAGCTGGAGACATCTCGCCGATTGAGGAGACTGGGATATGTCACATGTTACATTGGAGACGAATCCCGAATGTAATTTGAAAGTTGAGAGAACGAATTTCGGCGAGGTCGCCGTGACAAAACCTGCTGTTTATCATCGTGCGTTGTCACGATGTTTTGCCATTCGCTCTCATTTTTCCCTGTTTCCCCGCCCCCCGTTGGTGTTAGATGCCGTGCCGATAAAAATAATTTTCTAGCAACATTTTTTGTTGTAGGAAGCCACTTCGTGAAAAGCATTCTTGTACGTAATTTCCATGAATTCGTTAACCTCCGTAATCGTTCCACAACCGAAAAAGCATTAGAGTTTCGTAATTAAGGTGATTCGTCACGCTCAAGTGACGTGGTCAAACTGGTGTGCGATATATCACATCGATTAGGTGAAAAATCTCGGCAGCTTTTGAATTTTTGGTAAAAAAAGGACGATAACCCCTGCGCATAAGCCTAAAGAATCATTCTAAACCCAAAAATCGGCAGAGTTCAGAGAAATCAATGCATAATAGTGTTTGGGCAAAAACCTCGATCGCATTCGGTTCTGCTATCGAATTCGAGGTTTTTCCCCCACCACTATATTCTGCATTAATTTCTCTGAATT